AATGGAGTAATATTTGTAACCTAACAAGACAATACTTGTAACTCAACGCATCGATACCTATAATCTTGCATCATTATAGAGTGTTTGAATTATTCAATACATGAATTATTCGATACATCAATTATTTTAGTATAGTATAATTTAACAAAATTTATTTTCTTAAAATTAGTATTTAATTATAATATTATATAAAATATAATGGAATTAGATCTTGATTTTCAAATTTTAATTGTATGAATTTTTAATTTGTGTCAATTTAATTTATATTAATGAGGATATATATATATATAGACGTACGAAATAATTACAAAATGGGTATATTAATTAATTTTATACTTAATCCAACATTGTATAGATACTATTATATTTATTTGATATTCTATTAGGTATTTCTAGTAGGAATTTCTCATTTCTTATATTTTACCATAATATATACACTAAATAATATACGTGATCTTCATTATAGTACAATGGTTATAATAATTATGCCAAACATTAAGGATTAAGTGTTACTGGCCCTTAAGAGAATAATGTTTCATTATAATACAAATTCTCTTCTTTTATGTTACATTTTTATTTGCTCTTTTATGGATTATTTGTTTGCTTACACACACATACACACATATATATGCGGGATATATGCAATGATCTTATTTTTTATATGAAATTTTATTATAACTAATTCATATAAATAGAAATTTATTTTTATAAGAGATTTAGATTAATTCAAAAAATCAATTTACATTAATAAATAATTTAATTGCAAGAGTTTAAATCCACAAATTATTTACACATTTTAAAAATAAAATCATGACTTGAAATCCTATCAATTATTTTTAGATAATTTCTACCCATATTTAATTAAAATATAAAATTTTAAAAAGGTTAAAAAATTTAGAATCATTAATTAGTGACCCATTTTGGAACCACTACAAATTCTAGTTACTAATTAATAACCCACTTTATAACCGCTCAAAATAGGGTCACTAATTAGTGACTCCTATTGTGACCACATACATGGGGGGTTACTAAATAGTGACTAAATATAAAAGAGCATGGTCAAATTAGTGACTCCTTTTGTGACCCAAAAAATATGTCACTAATTAGTGACTTATTTTGTAACCACCAAGAATGAGATCACTAATTAGTGATCCCATTAATAACTGATATACAGCGGTTACTAATTACTGACCAATTTGTAACTGATTTACTGTGGGTCACAAAATCGGTCACAAAAAGGGTTACAAATTTGATTCCTACGTTTGAAAAAAAAAATGAGGCTATTTGGTCACTAATAAATCACTAAGCAGTCACTGATTAGTGACCCTTATTTGGGTCACTGATATGCGGTCATAAATTTAACTTTTTCTTGTAATATTTTGACAATTAATAGAGAAAGACCTTAGCAACTTTGGCAAGTTTTGTTTTTCTTTTCCTTACATTTTTTTATTTCTTCCCTAACATCTCTCTCCTGCCTTTTTATAACCACTTGGCCATGAAGTATTAAGAAAAAAAATCAAATTGTGACTTTAAAATGAGTTTCTCAGCTTTATATGACTAACTTAGTACCTTTAGAAAGAATTATAGGACTTCTTAGCCTTAAATTGTGGTTCGGATCATCCAAGACATTGTAATTTTCTATCGGTATACTGCAAGATTTATTTAGTTTCCATGACACAAAAAATTTCATAAAATTCGAGCTTACATGACATAGAAGATTAAGATTTCATGTCATTGAGATGACATAACATAAACAAATGTGCCTCTAAATGCATTGCATAAAATAATAAATTGTATATTTCAAGTGATGGATCTGAAATTAACACTTTTGAACTAAAGTTCTCACAAGAAAGCAAGAAAGTAGCTCAATTGTTATAAAAAAAAATTATATCTTTGACATTCTAAAAGGAAGATGGAGGTATTAGTTGTTAGGTCAAAGATGAGATTGGTGAGTTTTACTAAATGCATGAGGTCTAAAACCAAGGTAGTTAAGCGAGAATTTGCAATGCGCATTGGGTATTGGGGTTAGTTACACATACGCTGGAAAGTCATTACCCTGTTGTGTGAAAGGGAGTACTATTAATTTAAAGCGGTCAAACTACTTTGTAACAACCAAGTCTTCGGTCTTTACCTATTTTATGGGTAAAAACCAATATACATGTATATATAAGAGCCATGAACCTTAATGGGATACCCACCAAGTATCCAAACATGGCATCTTTAAAATTTTTACTCCCACTTGTTTCAATTTTCCTACTTGTTTCTCTGTTCACTTCACACACTGGCGTGGCTTCTTCCTCTACTCAACAAGCCAAGACTCTCCTCAAATAGAAAGATAGCCTTCAAAGTTTCAGCGGTCTTGTGACGAGGTGATGGAAACTTCCTTTAAACAATGGCCATCCAGAGACAAGTGTTAGCCCATGCCATTGGCTCGGAATTTCTTGCAATCGCGAAGGAAGTGTTGCTAAATTGAACCTCAGAAGCTCAACCCTAGTTGGTACGTTGGACAACTTTCCATTCTCATCACTTCTTAATCTTGCATGCTTTGAACTTAATGCGAATCAACTCTTTGGCATCATCTCGCCTTTGATTGGTTCTCTCTCTAAACTCATCTACCTTGTCTTGTCAATCAATCCGTTCTCTAGAAATATTCCACAGGAAATTGGCTTGCTAAAAAATATCCCACAAGATCAGCATGAATAGACACCAAATTTTACCTGAAATATCTAAATGGGAAAAAAATCATAAATAAATTTTTAGTATAAGCTGAGGTTTTACACAATTCTTGTTCTCAAGGTCACAAAACTCTCTCGGATTTCAATCACACTGCTGTTTGGATTTCACTATGATTCCTCACAAAAGCCATGTCCATCCCCTTCCGTTAACCCCTTATTCAATTAGGAATATGAATTCACTAAATTGCAGAGAGGCCCTCAATATTTTAGCCGCCTCATTAGGTCCCTCAAACTTTCATTTTTTGTGAATGAACCCCGGATTATTTGTTCCATTTTAAATTCACCCCAAATCTTCAAACCCCCATTCAATTTAATCCCTTAGTTCTTCAATTGAATCTCTAATTCTTCCATCTGACATCCGTTATGGTCCCAAAGGACTGGTTCAATTTGGAAGGGATACCCGCCGAGTCCTGTAATAAAACTTCAACTAAAATATCCTCCTCCTAATAAATTCTCATAGTATGTCTTAAAAATTTTATTTGAGTTTCATACTTTATTTTCATAAAAAGAGAAATGAAAAAATAAAAAAAAAGAAAGAAAGTGGAACAGCAGTCAACCTTTTTGTAAAACTAATTTGTCCCACGTGGGGCCTGAGGAGATTATTCGATATAAGGGGAACTAATTAATTATGATGATTATATATTTGAGTATGAAACGTCAATGGAATATCTAACAATAAATATAAGACGAGCTTGTTTGATTGTAAAAATAAATTTTCAGGGATTGGATAATTAGTGGACTATTGAAATTAAGTTGCAAGCTATGGTAGAATTATTTATTATTTGGATTCATATCTTCGGTTGAGTATTGGATTATAGATGATTAAAAGTAAATAACATGAAATTCACTATTTTCCAAACTTAATTAGATCCAGAAATGAATGGTTAAGAGACCCACCTGGGATAATATCTTCCACAGGACGAGGTAAAGTTATCTCTTATATATAGAGTACAATAAGTCACCTTTAATCCAATCTTTGCTCTCTTATATCCTCCCAAAGGAAAGTTTGGTACCTAAGTTAATAATCTCCCAATCCTTCAACCAGTCAAGAGATCCAACCCAGTTATCTCCCATCAAGAGAAGTATTAATATAGAAACCCATGCGTTAGTCACAGTCTTTCAGAATGTCATCCTTTTGTATGAAACAATTTTAAAGTATTAATATAGAAACCCATGCGTTAGTCACAGTCTTTCAGAATGTCATCCTTTTGTATGAAACAATTTTATAGAATAGAAAACAAAAAACATATCCAAACAGACCATTGTATCTGTGTAGCTGTTTTTGTTTTCTCTTAATTTTGGAAAGTGTAAATGCATGGAAGAAAGAGCTATTGATTTTGGGTGGTCAAACTGGTTTCCAACAACCAAGTATTCGGTCTTCACCTATTTTATAGGTGAAAATTAATCTATGTGTACATGTAAGAGCATTGAACCTTACTTAACATAATACGTATTATGTTAACTTGGGTGGATAGAATGGAATCTTTGGTGGGTAGAGCATTGAATGTTAACTTGGGTGGATAGAATGGATAATTTGGTGGGTATACCCACCAAAGTATCCAAACATGGCATCATTAAAATTTTTACTCTCACCTGTTTCAAGTTTCCTACTTGTTCTTTGTTCATTTCACAAATCAGAGTGGCTTCTTCCTCTAGTGAAGAAGCCAAGAAGCTCCTCAAATGGAAAGATAGCCTTCAAAGTTTTGACAATCTTGTGATGAGGTCGTGGAAACTTCCTTTAAACAATGGCCATCCAAAGGCAAGTGCCAACCCATGCCGTTGGCTGGAATTTCTTGCCATCGTGATGGAAGTGTTAAATTGAACCTCTCAAGCTCAAGCCTAGTTGGTACATTGGACAACCTTCCATTCTTATCACTTCTTAATCTTGCGTACTTAGTGAGAATCAGCTCTTTGGCATCATTCTGCCTCTGATTGGTCCTCTCTCAAAACTCATCTACCATGATTTATCATTTAATCAGTTTTCTAGAAATATCCCACAAGAAATTGGCTTGCTAAAAAATATTAAGACTGCAATTCTTTTTGAGGAAATAAACATAGGTCACACAAAGGTCAAACATGAATACTCATTTTTGAAATTGTACTCCCTCTAGGTGGAGCAATTTTGCTTCTAGTGCTTTTTGCCATTTTCATCATCTTTTTCAATCCAAGAAAGAGAAAGGTGCAAGGAGAAGAAGAAGAAGAAGAAGATAATGGAAACATTCAGACCAAGATATATTCTCAATAGCAGTGTTTGATGGAAGAGCAATGTTCAACGAAATCATAAAAGCTACCAAGGACTTTGATGCCATGTTTTGCATTGGGAGTGGAGGGTCTGGAACGGTTTACAAGGCCAAGTTGCCCTCAGGTAATACAGTGGCTGTGAAGAAGCTTCATGCATTATCGGACAATGCTGATCGAAAAGACTTTTTGTACGAGGTCAAAGCATTAACAAAGATTAATTATCGAAACGTAGTGAAGCTTTATGGATTTTGTTCACATTCTAGGCACTCCTTTCTGGTTTTTGAGTACCTAGGAATGGGACGCTTGGCTACGATTTTGGGTAGTGATGAAAAAGCGAGGTTGTTAGACTGGCCTAAAAGGAAGAATATCATTAAGGAAGTGGCTCAAGCTCTTTCTTACATGCACCATGACTGCACACCGTCTATTGTTCATGGAGACATTTCAAGCAAAAATGTTCTCTTGATGAGGAGTACAAAGCTCGTATCTCAGACTTCGGCACTGCAAAGCTTTTGGAGCTAGATTCATCTAATCGGAGTGCACTTGTTGAAACTTGTAGTTATGTCGCACCAGGTAAAGAAAGTTGTTTTCTCGGAAAATTTTCTGTGTTAAATTTAATACTTGAATCCATGATTACATTTCCTTCATCACAGAAATTGCTCTCACAATGAAGATCACCGAAAAGTGTGACGTTTATAACTTTGGGACGTTGGCGTTGGAAGTAATCAAAGGAGGAAATCCAAGAGACTACATCAACTCTCTGTCAAAACCATTCGTAGAGAACACGGATTTGGAAGAAATGATCCTTGATCATCGTCTTTGGCCTCCCTCTGTTGAAGTTAAGGAGGAAATCGTGTTCATCGTGAAACTGGCCTCCCGATGCTTGAATAAAGTTTCATTCTTTAGACCAGGAATGCAAGTTGTTGCTCAGCAATTGTCCAGACGAATGAATGGAGATCATCCGTGAGTAAAACAATCTTCCTGGTCATCAAATTAAAGAAGAGATAGTGAGAAACAAGAAAAAGATTTTCCCGTTTCCCCGAAATAATTTTAAATAAATGCTGAAAAGTCCACCAATTTGATTAGAACAATGTACTGTGGGAATAGACCATATCAAAGTCTGTAATTTTATGTTATAGCGCTTAAGGTTGTGTGATTGTTTGTAATATTTTTGATTAGTAAGTAATTTCCCGCCCTGTACTTTGACACATTGTTCATGTTGGCCCATGTACTGTTAAGTTTTCCATATTGACCTTTATACTCACAGAAATTATTGAATAGAGAAGCCCAAGTCAAACACATTAACATTCATATGAAAATGAAAACATTTCCAAATTATTATATATAATTTTACCTATTTTTCATGTTGCTTATCTTGAGTTTTAGTATATTGTTTCTGAATTGGATCTACCCCTTAATATTACACATTATCAAATTTAACACTTAACATTATGAGAAGGTTAGGATATTGACTTACTAATCTTCCTTTTTTTCATACTTAACTCTTTAAGGTACCCAAGAAAAATAACTAACATGCATTATGACTCAAACCAATTTAGATCTAAATCTAATTACGTATTTGTATATCTGAATTTGATCCAAAATTTTATAAAATCTGTATCTATGAGTTTATATTTAACTCTGATAAATAATCTAAAATTTGACAAAAAAATCTAATTCCATAAAAAAAATAATCCTTTTTTATATTTAAATCTTTCAATTTTGTTATATCATTACATTAATTCTTAAATTTTTTTTATTTTTCAATTTAATTCCTATAAGTTTGAATTTATTAATATTATATACAAAATACTATTAATTTTTAAAATAATATTAAAATTTAGATTCAAATAGTTAACTAATCTAATTACTTAATTTCATAATTGATGCACTTATTTTCGCTTAAATTCAGTCACATTTTATTTTTTTTTACAATGTATTTCATTTAAATATTGAAAGAAAAACAAACCGAGCAAGAAAAGAAAATCCAAAGTATTTTCGAAAATATTCAACTGGTCTGATCACTTTTTTATTTTTATTTTTTTTACACTTATGTCATTTAAATATTAAAAGAAAAACATACACAGTAAAAAAAGAAAATCCAAAGTAATTTTTAAAATATAGCAAAATCAGATTATTAAAAAAATTAATTTCCAATTTTTATACTAAAATTAGAAAAATTAAATTAATAAAAGAATTTATTTAAAACAACAAAAGACCCCATAAATTAGTACAGAATCATCCTTCAAACTACTACTTCCAAGTCGCCAACTGATAGGTGGACCTCTTATATTATTTTAGCGACCACTTGTTTCGTTGGAAAATCATTGACATATTTAAAATATTTACGTTTGATAATAGACATGTGGCTTTGGCAGCAAGTTGAAGGAGAAGGTATAACCAATCTAAGACGAGTTTACCACTTCAGCGTTGGCTCCTTGGACTTTAAAAAAATTTTAATTAATATTAATTAGCACTTTTTATTTATAACTTTATTTGAAATTTATTTAATTGCAATTCATTAATTTACTTGTTTAATTAAACGTGTGCTTATTTAGCGGCGTCACGTGCCTCACAACTTGCTTATAGATATATTATATAACTAATGTTCGAATCCGTGCCATGCACAGGATGAAATACGAAATAGAAATTATAAAAATATAATAAATAACAACTTTACTTTAAATAAAATAATATAAAATATAAAAATTATAAGTATGAAAATAAAATTTTATAAAATAATATTAAAATCTATGTTGAGAACTTGAATAAAGAATCAAAATATTGAGATGGTGATCAAAATCTACACCAATCAATTGAATAATGAAAGAGTAATTAATAATTGTATTTTAATTATATTACAATTAAAAATTGAGAATTAAGAATTAAGAATTATATAAAAATAATATATTAATTATAAGGTATTAAGTATTATTCATCAAACTCAAATTCATATCAAAAAATCAAAACCCACAAATAATAAATCTAAGCTCTTTAGGATTATTAAATTCAAATTCATATTAATAACTCAAAACTTGTAATAATAGCTATTAGATTCACAGCGTATATCAATTGATATCAATATAATAGAATTATATATAATTATGATAAAAAAAAATGCAAAAATTGGTCCATTTGAAATAATATATGATTTGAAAACATGTAATGACCATTAAAGTTAAAAAAGATAATAAAAAGTATATATGTCACCAAATTATTTACATTCAAACAGGACAATCAATGAGTTTCCAAAACATAAAATCAAAATAGATAATATATATAATTCTTAAGTTTGTATTTATTTTATGCGCCTCTTCAATTTTGTGACACGTGTCAATCACAAGTTTCTTACTTGCTTCATCTCAAGGATTCTTACTAAAGAGTTATCAAGTTTTCATAATAAAGGTTAACAGTAAATTCTAATGAAATGAACAAAATTTCTATTAAAGAGATAAATGACAAAATTAAATATTAATTAAGATAAATAATTTACAAAAATTCAAATTATTATATACCTCTGAATTGAAGATCCAACATTTTCGACCTAACTCATAGAGATGTAAATAGTAACAGTTGGTTGAATACAAAAAATTATAAAAGAGCTTTATTATTAATTCAAGATACTAATACAAAAACTTAAAGAATTTAAACATAATATTACAAACTGTTGATGAATAATATGAAAAACAATTAGAAAGAAACAAAATATGATGAAACCACCATTATTACCTGTTTTGGGATATATCGATTATTGTTTTATTAATTAGAAGAAATCGTAGAGAGAAAAACTAAGAAAGAGAATCAAGAGTAAAAAAGAAAAGAAACCTCTCTGATATATATATATATATATATATAGGAATTAATTATTAAAAAAATTGATTACATTGTTCTATAGAAACTAAATATTTTAAAAGTTTGTGTTTTAAATCAAATATTCAATAGAAATTCCTTTTTAATTTAAATTGTCAAAAAACTGAATAAGATAATAAATTAAATCAAAAATATTTTATTTTGAGTTTACTAAATAACATGATAAATTCATAAATAAAAATTAAAAATATTACATAAAAAATTAAATATCACACCGTAATGTATCATATCCTAATATAAAAAAAATACACATAATATGATAAATTAATAAATTAATTAATGAAAATCAAACATCACATCGTGATAAATCATATCTTAGTATAGAAATAGAATATATATATATATATATATAATTCATGTAAGTTAACTTCTTTCTAATAGGTATGTAAGAAAAAAAATTATGTTAGATAACTAATTTCTAATAATCAATTATTATCTTTTCTTTTTGTTCACACACACATATATGAAAAAAGGAAACAAATTATCCAAATTAATTTCTTTTCAATAATTAGTTTACATTCATTTCCTTTTTTTCATTGTGTAAATCAATTCATTTTTAATAATTAATTTACATCTTTTTCCATATATCACATGAATCAATTATTTTAATAATTAATTTATATATATATATATATAAAGAAAATAATTTAGGCAAGTTAATTGCTTTCTAATAATCAATTTCTATTTTTCTCCTTTTTCATCTATTTATATATAGAAAAAATAATTCAGGTAATTAGATAATTTCTAATAATTAATCTTTATTTATTTCTGTTTTATATATATATATATATATATGTATTCACACACACAAAATAAGAAAATAATTTACATAAATTAATTTTTTAATAATTAATTTAAAATATAAACTAAACATTTAAAAAGATAACACTTAAAAACTTCCATTTCATAAATCAGTTCTAAAATTTAGAAGATTTATTAAATACTGAAATTATTAAATCTGCGATAAATATTGATAGACTCACCCTTCTTATCCTGGGAAGCTTCCCTCCGGATAGACACGCATGCTTCCCGCCGCACACGTTGCAAGACAAAACTGTTTATTATGGAATGTACCCCAATCCTAAACTTTTTTCATTGCCGACGACATCCCCTCCGGATTGGCGCGATGCGACGATGGTTCCATGGATATCCTCATCGCTTTATACTACTATTTTAGTTTACTATGTTTTTGGATGTTTTTGGATTTGATGAATGAGACTTGTCCCAGTAAAAAATTAAAAGTTCTCTAATTTTCATAATTCAGAAAATTATAATAATAAATCAATTAATTTGCATTAAAATAAAATTAAAAATGCAAAAAAATTGTTTCTATTTATTTTAAATCCAAGCCATTGTGTAGTTGAACGTGTCATGTTAACAACCTCAAAAATGCCGATTTAGTTGTAACGTTGACTTGAAAATTAATAAATATACCAAATTTTATAATTATATTTAATTAAATTTGCATTTTAACTCCACGTATTGTAACGTGAAAATAGGCCCGTCCACACTAAATAGCCTCTCGATCGTAAATATCACCTTCTTCGTATTTATTTAGTTGCGATTCAGCTGTCTCGTTTCTTTCCAGCGAAATTATCGGTTTCGAGTCTTGGCAGCTATATAAACACTCCCCACCACACTTGCTGATAGAGAAGCAGGTGCAGAGTGTGAAGGAGAAGCCGATCGGACAGAATGTCGACTCTTACAGTTCCGTCACCGGTTCCCCCGTCGCCGATGATTGCGAGCAACTCCGGAAAGCATTCGCAGGTCCTGTAACTTCGCTACTTCTCTTCTCCAATCGTTTTGCACTCTCCATTATCGCTTCGTGCATCGTTTTGTCTGATCATTCCACTGATCTGATAGATCTGTGATTGTTTATTTTATTGTTCGATCGTTCTTTATGTTAACGTATGGATAATTATGAGTTAGAGTGTGTATAGTAACTTTTTAATTTGATAGAGTTAGTGTCTTTACTAGACCACAACATAGATCGACGACGATTGACTTTTAGACATGATAGGAAATGGACGATCATATCATTTTTGCTTTGGATCTGGATATGTTACCCTGATCGTCGAAAAATTGATGCTTGTTAGTGATTTGCAATCTGATCACATGATAATCGCAATGATCTTTAAATTCGATCTCTGGGTTTGTTGATTATATGAGCAAAATTGATATCAAAGTTCTTGTTGCTCGTGATAGATCACATTTGTTTGAACCTGGATTCCTCTGTCATCTTGCCCAGTTTGTCGAATGGAGGTGCTAGTTATTAAGAGAGATCATTCTTAATGGAGTTTGATGGATTCATGGTGTTAACCTTGGTTATCAAAATTTTTGAAATATTTGTGAAGCTAAATAATCTCAGAATTCAGTGACGACTTTATGTTTTCAATTTCGACCTTCATGCGCTGCTTACCGAAAGGTAAAGGAAAATAGCAATTCCTTTTTTCTTTTCTTTGCAGTCAAAGTAAGAAAGGTCCCATTAATTTTTGAAGAGTCTTGCTATGATTGTGACTTCTGGAAAATGTAGTAAATTTATAGCTTTGTGACAGAACAGCAATGCTTATGACCTTTTATATTCATTGAGACGAAGTTGATGGTACTGATCCTCATTAATTTATTGTTGACTTTTGTGCCACTTGACTTTTGATTTTTAAACATTCACCTTGACAACTTTACAGGGTGGGGAACTAATGAGGATTTGATCATATCAATATTGGGCCATAGAAATGCTTCCCAACGCAAGTTGATCCGGCAAACTTATGCTGAAACTTATGGAGAAGATCTTCTCAAAGACCTTGAGAAAGAACTTACTAGAGACTTTGAGGTTGGATCTTGAATTCTTACATTCATAATTATAATTCTCTATGGAAGAATATTCTTGCGACACTGACATATGCTTTATCAAAATTTGTAAATGTCTTTCAGAGATTAGTTCTTCTTTGGACATTAGAACCTGCTGAACGTGATGCATATTTGGCTAATGAAGCCATACAAAGATGGACTAAAAGCAACCAGGTGCTGGTGGAAATAGCTTGTACAAGGTCTCCACATGAACTACTTCTGGCAAGGCAAGCCTACCACATTCGTTTCAAGAAATCTCTTGAAGAGGATGTTGCCCATCACACTACGGGGGAATTTCGCAAGGTACTCCCAATAAACTGATCAACTAATAGTGTATCAACCATCAGAATAATATCTTCCTGTGAAGCATGCCTGTACCATTTGATACCTATATATGTTTTGTTGTTTCACAATTTTTTACCTCTAAATAATAAAGTAGATTTAAAGATTCTTCTGTAAATTACTATTAGACAGCTGAAATATGCATACCTAAGTAATCTATTTAAAAATTAATATTGTTCTAAAGATTCATTGGTAAAATTATTGTCAGACCTAGCGGAAATATGAATATCCAAGTAATAGCTTTTGGTGCCATGTTTCTTCAATTAACAACCATTTGTTTGGAAGTAGGGGAACCACTCTTTCAGAGAATTCAGAGCACATGACACTTGCAGTTACTCCTGGCATTTAAAGACTTTCTTGAAATAATAACCCACCTCAACTAATGAATGGTTTCTTACAGTTAATCAATAACATATCTCGGAAGTAGTAGGGCAGAAATGTTACTATATCATGGAATCAGGTCACAATCTTTAAAGAGAAAATTTGATAGATACATAGTTGGCAAGACTGAATCGTGGCTTTGTGTAGAATGGCGAACTTTTCATTCTGATTTTTTCCTCTTCATGAGTAGTAGGTGGTGTTTGGCAGTTTTAGCTTAATAATGAAATCATTAATACCCTTTCATATGCCCAAAAAGCTTCATTAGTCTTTATCTAATTTTATTTTGTTTTACTGTCTGCACTTCCTATGGTTCCAGCTTTTAGTAGCACTTGTAAGTTCATACCGATATGATGGAGATGAGGTGAACATGACTCTTGCAAAAAGCGAGGCCAAGCTGCTCCATGAACATATTTCAAAGAAGGACTACAGCCATGAGGATGTGATCAGGATTCTAGCCACAAGGAGCAAGGCACAGATCAATGCAACACTAAATCATTACAGGGATGAATTTGGGCATGAAATGGTCAAGGTATGGATATTGACTGATTTACTTCTACCACAATTTCTTGTAGTATCCACTTCAATATTGGCCCTTTCTTCTCTGTTGCACTCTGGAATAGCAGTTTTAATCATTACCTTGACACATTTTTGAATAACTTACATGCCATTCTTCAGCAAATCTAATGTTTGTTTGTTAGGAAGGACAGACAGGAGGGATGGGAAGGGATAAGGGAAAGAAATCCATCACCCACAGAACAGATTGTACTCCTTTTCTTCTTGTCTGGTTCAAATGTGAATTCTTTCCTTTCTGTAATCTGTTTAATTGTGAACAGGATTTTTGGGCATTCTAGATCTGGTAGGAAATAAATCCATCCCTTAATTCGTCCATCCAACCAAATACATAATCATTGGTCAATCCTTTCCCTAATCCCTCCCTCCTATTGTCTTTCCCTACTTCCAGTCAATTATGCAAGGGATTTTTGGTCTGAAAAAGGAATGATGGCTTATTGGAATATTGAAAAAGGTCCATTGATTAATCACTTCATTTTGCAGGACTTGGAAGGTGGTCACGAAGAGGAGTTTGTGGCAATCCTGAGAGCAACAGTGATGTGCTTGATCTGTCCTGAGAAGTACTTTGAAGAGGTTCTTCGGCTGTCAACTAACAAGATGGGAACTGATGAAGGGGCTCTCACTAGAGTGGTCACTACAAGGGCAGAGGTTGACTTGAAGATCATAAAAGAGGAATATTACAGGAGGAATAGTGTGCCTCTCGACAAGGCCATTGGCAAAGACACCCATGGACACTATGAGAAAATGCTCCTTGCCCTGGTAGGACATGAAGATGCTTGAGAAGAGTGAACTGCTATTATCAAGTTTGGTTTCGTTGATCACTGGTTTTAGTGTTAAATATTTGCTTCTTGCATGCTTTTGCCGTGTCCTTTGTTTGTGTTGGTATTGGGCTTTTGGTCTTGCGATCTGCCTCTCCTCAGGTACTTTGTGATGGTATCTAATATTGCGAGTAATAATATTATGCTTTAAATTAATTGATGTGTCTTATCTTCTTCATGTTCTTCCTTTTTTTTATTTATTTAAATTTTTTGTCTAGCTATTAAACTAGATGATTGTTGTAAGCTTAATCCATCATATGACAAATAGGATCTCCTCCGAATTCCCTGTAGATTATTTGTTTCCCATCATTAACATCTCGAGGAAAGACTATAAAGTATGACAGGCTAATTGACGAGGAGCAAATGATGAGAAGAACCTACAAACCGGACGAACTAGTGATAAAAGTGAATTGTCTCCAAAGCAGAGATAGCATTGGGCATATTGTTACTGTCGCTGGGGAACCAAACTCCTTGAGAGATACCTTTGGGAAATTGTTATGCTGCAGAGTGCAAGAGAGGTTGAGACAAGAATCTGTTTCTTCTCCCTCTTTCTGTTCCTTTTTTTTTTTCTTTTTTTTGACATGGAACAAGTTTAATCATCATATAGGTCTAATAGATTTAATAAACCTCTGAAAATAAACAAAAATTTGTGGCTTGGTGGATTAACAGGAAGGAACAACCAAGGCTAGGCTCGCCAATGATAAGATTTGCCTGGTCACAGGTACAAAGTGAAAAGATAGGACTACGATGTAGATTAGTCGGACACAAATAAGAACTATTAATATCAATATAAGATTTGATGTGTTTTAGATTGCTAAAAAACTGATTTATCATCAGACTCGATGATTTTAGAAGGGAGAAGGAAATATTAAGCTTAAGTAACCTCTCAACCAAAGAAGAGATGTTATTTCTGATGAACAAGCAAAGACTGGACGACAGATTAGTCTAACAAAAATAAGGATTGATCTATTTTGGACGATTCTTAGAAGAGAGAAGGAAATGTGAGGTTTATGTAACATTTCAGCAAGAGAGGAGATGTTACCTTTGATATTGTGGAAGAGCGAAGGGAAAGGGAGATAGGATGGCCTGAGATCTGATTCCAAGGCCGAGTGAACCATTGATACTCTTTTCCATTGAGCAAGACACATATTTGCTACCAAGCCACTTGAGTATGGGTTGAGAGCATGTCCACAATGTCTCCTTTGGGCTCATTGTGGACCCTCGAGCTTCAAATTGCCTTGGATATCCATGTGTGGCTCCTTTGTGCTCCATATTGCCTTGGGTCCACGTGTGCCTCGCTCAACATTTTGTCATCCCCTCAGTGGCATTTTGCGGATGAATCTTATGTTGTCGTCTTTGCTTTTCGGGGGTTCTTCAATCCAACTGAAAACCAGTCCTCCTCATGAACAAGAAGCTAGAGATCACAAATAATAGGGACTCCCAGGAAATAGCATTAGACAAAAATAGAAGGGAGAAGAACAACTTTCAGCCGTTGTTTTCCTTGTGGAAAATTAACATATTATTTTTTCTTTCGGGGGTAAAATAGGAAACTAACAATAATCACCAAACCAAACCATATACTGAATGTTAGTCGACGGATTCAATTTCTTTAATTGCATAAAAATGGTCATATAATTCAGAATTTATTGATTTGTATTTATTTATTTCTAACTAATACTTTAGCTTTTTTGATAACATATACTTTAAATTTGCTATTATCTTATTTTATGATTTTTATTTTGTCCATTTTTCTTCTTATTTTCATTTTATTTTCTTTTCTTTTAGACAGCGAGGAGGGTACTTGCCCAAAGAACGAACATCTTTGTTTCTCTTCAGACTTGCAATCCCTTCTCGTCTGCCCAAATCCGGGTTTGTGGTTAGGATTGTCTTCGTGCAGGCGTGGCAACGGAACAAATATAAAGTGAGTATTAATTTATTCATGTCGGTCCCACTTAAAAAATTTGTTCTTTTATTCGTTTCCATCTCTCGTCGAAAATTAATTAATTTTAATCTTTATTTCATTATCTTTAAATAATATTATATCAGTTTTCATGCTTATATATTCGTATTAACGCAATTTATTTAAAAAAATTAATGAAACAAAATGGTTTATAATCCATGAAATTAACAAATAATCAAAAATTACGTCCCAATATACTTTTCAAATGAAATAAAATTATATTCTAAATATCATTATTTAACAAACTAAATTAATATCAAATCACTAACTTTTAATCTATAAACATAAATAATATAAATACTATGATCCTCGTCTCAGTCTCCATTCCTAAATAAATTTCTGTAAAAATCTCCAATTCCGTTTTTATCCCTATTTTATAATATCCATACTAACACCAGCAAAATTAAATTTGTAAGTACCTATGAACATAAATAAAAATCTTATTCCTAAGTGCACGGCAGAAGATTTGGACCCGTATTTAGGTTGATGACAAGGAAATTGCTGCTCCAAGTAGATGGTTGAGATGCCATCTATTTTTCTTTCACACTGCATAAGGCGAGGGGATCTCTTCCCACCCAAAGAAGAAATCACACTTAACCCCTCAAAAATTTTTCCAAAAAAAAAAAAATGATGAAATTTGAATCCATAACTCGAAGCAATGACAAAGAAAGGCATCCTTAAAGAGTCACCCTTCATCATACAAGAATCATGAAAATCCAACTAAACTTTTGGCATATCCAAATAAGCATAGCAATCCAGATCCAGATGGACCATCGAATTCCAAAATGTCAGGTAAAATATTTAAATTATTCACTATAATTTGAGAAATAATTTCATAGAACATGGCACTCCATGTTAAACAGTAAATGAATGGTCCTATCAGACCAAATAGAGATATGGGATGATGACGAGAAAAGAAATGGACCCTACTTTTATTGACGACATTAACAGCATTCCTTGCACAGACAAGGAAACACTCCACTTGATGCAATTCTATCTATCTAAATATCTTTAGTTCACTTTACACACATTTACCTCAAAAGCCAACACATGCCATGTTCTCCGGCTTGACCCAAATTTCATGAACCAGACATATTGCCAGAATCAGGAAAAAGTCCTTGTGATTTTAAAACATAATAACAATAAAATGGTACAAAAGGTTATTAAAAAAATAATAATAAGGTGTTACAAAAGCAAAGAATATTCATCCCTTATTGGTAATTCAATGCATCTCCGATCAGCTCAAACAAATTCTTCATGTATCAAAATATACAAGAGCTAAAGAACATTTTGCATAATTAATATTACGATAAGTATAACATTTGACCCCAACAAATTGCATAGAATGAAATGATTGTAATATATAGCTAATCCAAATCTGCAACAAGGACACTACATGACACTTCTGGCAGAAGAATAGAACATGAAGGCCGTGCAAACTCTGTGACAAAACAATGGGAAAACACAAGATTATGGACATAAAAAACCCAATTAGCTGACAGCACATTGCCCTTTTGACATGTTAAAGCCTACGATAGAACAAAAGAAAACCAACACCACAAGGTCAAATGGTAGGAGAATTATCTCCTTGGAGACAAAAAACAAAATCAGACACACAAAGTCATAATGTAAAATAGTAGGAGTTAGATAGACCTAACAAGTTACACCAAAGCAATGCTGCTGCTTCCACCTGGAGGCTTGCGGACCCCACCAAAGTAGTCCCGGTGTTCTACCTTCCCATCTGCAAAAATGTCATTACCACTCATTTCTCGCAGCTTTGCTGAACTCAATGACCTTTCTGCCGATGTTGGATTGGCATCCCCCTTGAAAATGTCATTTCCAGTTAGCTCTGCAAACTTCTGGTTTGGGATCTTCTTTGCTGTCTTGATCACAGGCCCCCCACTAGCCATGTCATTGCCCTGATACATGGTTCAAGTGCTTCAGAGTTAAGGTATTGGAAAACACTTGCAAATGGCTAGCAAAATTCCTATAGTGCAGAAAAGTGAAGAGGAAGTCTAGAGCCACATGAATAAACAAATTGACAAAAGTCACAAAACCAGGGTCTAGTGCGCCTGCTACGGGAAGAGTTTCCTTGACCAAATACAAATGGAGTCATTCAACCTACATCTGCATTGATATGGGCTTTTAACACCAAGTATAAACAATCAGGTGAATTTTAGTTTGCTAGTGATCAAGAATATCTTTTCTAATCTATAATAAGCTAATTAAAGAGATATGCTGGCCTTTTCAAATTCTTGGCAGGAAAATTCTGAAGTCACCATATGCCTAGGAACATGGACTGACTGCAAGGTAATGCATATTGCACTCAACTGTGTTTTTATTAATGTTAGAAATTTTTATCAGTCCTTACACTGGAATGTGCTGATTCTCCAATTTTTATGCTTTCTCTTAAAGCCAAAGCTCTTGGAGCCAATGGCCGGGGTTGAATTTCAGGTGGTGGGGCAAAGATGTCATGCCCACTAATCTCCTTACACTTGGCGTCAGAAATTCGCTTCTTCAACTTTGCCTCAGACTCACTTTCTAGATTGCCACTCAACTCCCGTTGCTTTGCTACCTCTGGCAAAGTGGTAGGCTTCTTTGGAGAAACAGTTTCTTCTTCACCAAATGAGATGTGACTGATTCCAGCAACCACTTGCTGATTACAACTCCAACCATTAGAATCACACAAAGTAAATTATAATGTAAATTATACTACTCAAGTTAGATGACACCAAAACAGGCTCAGATATCCTATGCTGATGACAAACTTTGTGGAAATAGCAAATGAGTAGTATACCTGGTACATACGCAAACCAGTTTTGTTACTAGGAGTGGGGTTGGCCTCAGAATCTTCTGCAGCATTTTCTGCATCAGCTGCAAAAATGCCACTGCCGGTGATCTCCTTTAATTTATATGTTGAACAAGGTTTCCTGGCATGTTGCAAAGCTAACTGTTTCAGAAGCCCATACCAATAAAAGGAACTCAGATCCATTATCTCCACACAAGCAAAACCGGAAAAACACCAAACAACCTAGCAAAAACTTAACTTTCATGGAACAAATTGTCAAATCCAACTTTCGCTCACTAATTGAATAAAGTCTTTAGGACCAAATAAAATGAATGATAATGTCTGCAAGGTCAGAGCACAATTATCTAGCCACATCATATTAGGGTTAAATGCACGCATGGTTATCCTTGTATGTTGCATAACCCAAAACGATTGACAACAGTTGACTACTGTGCTAAGACCTGCCCAAAGCTATAGTTAATATAAGGAATCATTAATCAAAGACATGTAACCCATATATATCTACCCTGATTGCCCTACCCACGAAGGAAAGGGGACAATCTCATCACTCTATGTTTTCAAATAGCAATGTGAAAGGGATGAATGAAACAATCAGAAGATTTATCCATTAAACCAAGGAAACTGATTAAGGAAAATCACGCATTTGGGTACATCAATTGGATATTCCGGTCAACAAAGCTATCCGGCCAAAAATGTATTACCCAAGACAAAGTATTGGGGAATTACAACAATATAAAAATGATCCACTTTAAGTTGCTAGTATCCGGTGGATCAATGACTGAGTAAATTTGAATAACTATTTTTTTCACAATCAAAAAGTCGAGAAATGTGTTCAGTTAAAGGGTTAAGACTCTTCATCAAAATACTCAAACTAAGCAGAGGATCCAAACCTCAAATTGAAGAGTTTTACTAAGTAGAAAAACTATTTTGATGATAGACACTGATCACATGAGCAAACTAAACGGGGTGCCCAACTAAGGATCTTCAGTCTCCAAGATGTTCAAACCGCAAATTAGCCCCACTAAACTGAATTAAATGGACATCTCTTTAAATTCCCTTTGACAGATCTATTTACAAGTAGCAACATCTGGCGTTAGAAGTCATATAAAACTGTCCCAATTTAAAATGGAACTAGCCAGCCAAGCGAAATATAATAAAATTAAGTTCCTTCTAAGGAAATTCATTAGTGATCTCATACAAGGACGAAGAAATGTAAGATCCGAGATTCGGGGAAAAAGATGATCGAGCATTCAGCCTACTTACAAGGCGTAGCGCGAGAGAGAGAGAGAGAGAGCAAATTTGTCCAACTCGAAGAAAAATAAAACAGAGAGAAAGCGAGAGATATAAACGAGGGTGGAAGTATGAATGGTGTGAAAACCGGGAATTGTGCAGACAAAAGAATAATCAAGGCTCAAAGCCAAACGAACAAACAGACAAATACCAACGGTCTCTGCTAAAAACGCTATTTATTGTCCCAGGAAAACTGAAGAAACTGACACTTATACACGCACAGTTAAGCTTTCAGATAATTGCAGATGCTTGTGCCAGATCTCTCACCTTTTGTTCAAACTCTCCACTTCTTCATCCGTGACCTGACCTCCAAACACCACCTTACTGATCCCATCCGATGGCTGATGTTATTCCACATCAAAAAAACAAATAAATCACTATAGCCTCAGCTCAACAGATTTAAAAATTGAAAGACAGAGAGCGAGGATTCTCTGTTTGATGAGAGAGAAACGGAGTTACCTGGTGAGAACGGACGGCGGTGGCGGTTGGGGTGGATTCGGCAGGGGGAATTTCCGACCAAGTGAGCAGATCTGCGGTGGATGTGTGAGGCTTCCTCACAGGAGTTGTTCTCTCCATTGATCTTCCCTTCTACCCGAAACCAAGGAGCTCGAATCAGAAAAGGCAGAGAGGAAAACAGTCTCGATAGTTCCTCTTTCTCTCCAAAGTGAATGAGAGCTTTCTCTCTCTTCGCGCAGCCAATGTGAGATGAGAACCCTCTCTCTCCACCTCTCTATACGCCTCTTTCTCTCTCTATATCTCTCTCTGGTGTTGGGAATGGGAGCCGAGCTACGGATACTTGGGAGCTTAAAAATGGCGTAGTCGAAAGAGAGGAGGGTGGATTGACAGTACTTTGATTTTTGAATATTTTTTTTTAGATGTTGATTTTTGAATTTTAATTCCGCCCCTAATGGGCCCTTTCTTCTCCCGGGGAACCACGTGCAAGCCTTGACAGAGAGGCTCCACCTGCCCTTTTCATCCTCTTTTCCCAAAATGCCATTGGGTTTTTAAACTACCTAAACTACCCCTATTTAAATATAAAAATTACACTTTATTTTTTATTTTTTAAGTTCATCGTTTCTTCTTATATTATCTTGTTGACTATCATTTTTATGCGACAAAATTGATTATGAAATCTTAATCTAATTATAATTGGTGTCACAAAATACTATAATTACTAAAAATTAGATTTAATCAAGTTTAATTAAAAATATCCCTTAAGTACTCACAAGCATTCTAATGATAAAATTCATTTTTTAATATGATTTTTCAATAATTAATTTATCTCAAATTATTCTTTTTTTTGAATAATTTATATATTTATCGAAATAAAAGTGTCACCGAAAAAGAATTTAAAAAAATGGAGAGACACGGAAGGGCAATTGTGTCCAACAGGGCGTGAAAATTTGTTCTTTCTTTGTGTTACACGTTACCTCAAGAAAGGATAAAGTTATCCGTTACGCAAAGATATAGACGTTCACCAGTTCCCGTTTGCTTCGCAGCTACTGCTTCGGAATCACATAACAGCTTTTTAAATTGGGAAAGATTTACAACTGGGTTTCAGGTATTTTGGTTAATTTGGGTTTCGTGTAAAGCAATTCCTTGTTATATTTAACACTTCCATTGTTCAAACTTGCAACGGATAGTGATGACGGTGATTATTATACAAATTACCAAAGAAAGAAATAGCACGTTTGTTACAACTTTTTGTCAATTAAGTCAAAAGGCCATTTTATACCCTGGATTTCTATGGTAAATTTTGATTTTTTGTTATAAAAAATTTTAAAAAGTCAATAAATAAAATAAATATTTTTTGTCACAAGATTATTACTCTATCCTTATAATTGTACCTATTGAAGTCTAATATAAAATTTGCAATATACTCTCGGGTTCCAATTACTAAAGTCTATATCAATATGAAATTTACATCCTCTAACTAACATATCTACCTCTCCCTTAAAGATATTTAGTATGAGTCGTATTATCGTTGAACTACTCTTTCAGAGTTGGTTCTAATCATTACTTTATTAGAATATACAGTATCATTATTTTATAAGTCAATTTCGCTCCGGTTTAAGAAAGCACCTCCCCACCTTTCTTAACAAGAAATTCTTAACATTTTGATAATTTCTATACGAAAAACTCAAAAAATAAGCATTATTAAAAAAATTAACTTTTTTATATCAAAATCATAACCAAAAACAATTTTTAAAAAATGAAATTTAACAAATTTCTAATAATAAACCGCCCCCCCCCCCCCTGTTAAGGCTTTTACGTTTAGTCTCAAACTTCATCAGATCAAAAAATAAAATAAAATTTCGATATTTACAATATCCAGTTTCAAGCAGAAAAAAGAATTCTAAAATCTTAGTTTTAGTTTTTTTTTTTTTTAGTTTGACAAAACTGAGTCAAATGCAAAAGTCCATCTCAAAAATTAAAATAAATAATTTTCAAGTGTTGCCATTGACATTCATGCTAAAATTTTTGTTAATTCAAAAAATAAAATGATTTATGTCAATAATGCTATTTACCATTAGGTTGAGGATGGAATTGAAAAATCGTCATTTTAAATATAGTTCTAGTTATAAGATAACGAAGAAAATTGAAAGAAAAGCCATGGTATAATCACAAATGGGAGTCTTATTTTATCTACCGTTTGGTAATTAAATTACATTTCAGCACCCACCGATAAAACTAAATAAAATTTGCAACTAGAAATATTACTGTTTGCAGGTGATCGGTTCAACTTCTGTAACTTTAATGCGTGTTTGTTTATTCATAGTTTTTTTTTTTTTTCATTTGCATGTTGTGATTCACTGTATCTAACTTTTATTGTACAGTAAAATTAAAATATTAAAATATATGGGACCATTTATTAATTAAAGAATAAGTTAGTGGGTGAATATATAAAACCTCTAGGACATCTGTTGCAAAAGAACTTCACTTTTTTTCTCAAGTGGTTTGGGCATTGACCTTCCTTTGCAGGGAACACCCAATAAGCAGAAGGGATAGTTGTGGTTAATTTCTAGCTATATTTTAATTTTATCAATCTCAAAATGTAAAAGATGTTTTCATCACTTTACCTTAAAGGGGTTTCTAATCATTTTACCCTAAACAAACAAAAGTAAGATGGGCCAGTGACCCTCCTAATGTCCTAAGGTTGATCTGAATTGTCAAACGAATCATTCGGTCAACCCACTAAATTCTAAATAGAACACCTATATTTCATTATATATTACTCTAGAAAAAATTCTTTCTGAAACATTTATTATAATAATATTACTATCAATATCAATATCAAATATATATTACACAAGTAAAAAATTTGTCTATAATATTCATTAAATTAGTACTAATTTCAAATATTGATTAAATATATATATATATAAATTATTTATATACAAGATCAACTTCCAATAATAAATACATACATCTTCACTAATGGTGATCAAGTTTGGACACTTGAGATTTTTAGAAAAAGAAAAATTGTCAAAAATAGAATGATTAGTTACAGAAATAATTATCAATATTAAATAGATGTTAGCCAAATAAAAATTCTTTCTATAACATATATTATATTAATATTAGTATCAAATATTGATTAAATAAATATTAAAAATTATTTATCAATTAGATGAATTTCTTAAATTAAATATGTTTATCTACACTATGGATGATCAACCAAGTTTGAAGACTCGAGATTCTTAGAGAAAGAAAAGTTAACCAAAATGGAATGGATGGCTAGAGAAATAAGTCACTTGATAGGATACAGTGGATTGGCCAAAGTCCACTTCAAATTGGCACCCAATACCCGTCCGACAAATGGATGGGTGAAGCCACCAAACAGAAAGAATTAATCATATACGAGCAGCCATCACTCGAATGACAAAATTTAC